CGGCATGGGTGCCCGAATGCCCCAGACAGAAAACGGGCTCACTTGCTGGATGGCGGTTTGGCCCGAGCTGCGGCCCCGTGGGGTGCACGGGGCCTCGTGCAGTGAGCCGCTCAGGGCCCGAATTTACGATCTGTAAACTGGAGAAGTTTAGAGAGCATATGTATTAGTGGTTTGATCTGCACTCCTTGGAGCTCGAAGGAAGAGGATGCTTTAGAGATTTTGCAAAATCGTGAATAAAATCTTGTTAACGTTTTCTTAACTTTGCACAAAAGCATACTCGCTAGAGACCAGCGTGCGCCTGCCGTCCTAGTTCACCCCCAGCAGGCTAGCTCATTGCACCAGGCTCAGCACGCGATCACGCCACTGCCCGCGGGTCCAAGTGTGCTGGTTAAAGGTTTGTTTTGAGCTTGGGTCTGGCGACGGCCGTCGGCGTGTTTGCGCCCTCCCGTGTTCCTGGGCCCACAACGGGTGCGACGCTGCATGGGGAATGGTCGTCCCTCCTGGATGGACAGCACCACCCTGTCCGGGTCCTTCCCAGAGGCGCGTCGCCGGGAGAGCACTGGCCGTGGAGGCGCGGCTGCAGGGGTCTTGTGGGGCTGGAGCCGGCATCCGAGGTCGTCTCCGAGAAGGTCATTAAAACGTCTCCTGCCGCTTCAGAGTGAGCCGGGTCCTCTGTTCCTTGAAAGTAGGCGTCCTCAGGTGAGGGTGACGGGAGGGGCCGCAACACGTAGACGGTTCTCAGAAGCTGAGACCTCGTCTCCCTCGGCAGACGCCCGCTCGGGAAGGCATTGATCGATAGGCATGCCGACTTCTCCTTCAAGCATTAAGCACTTCATTTTGAACCCCCAGAGGCTCGCGGAAATGCCAGTGACCCCAGAGTTCAACTTCAGCTTGGAAGGTAGTGGTTTAATGTTTTATGAGTATCCTCCTTTGCTTCCCAAGAAAGGCTGAGGTGGACCGGAGAGGACAGCCCGACGAGAAGGGTTAGCCGTCGGGCACTAGTGTCTCGCGTCGGGCCGCGGGC